AGTCTCCATGACTGGCGATTTCAGGCCGCTTTTTGCTATAATAAGGAATTGCAGAATCACATGTCACAGGTCTATTTTCCGGGGTTCTGGGGGCCTCGTGTCCTCAGCCAAGGCAGTAATTAGGGAGTGGTGTGTCCCCTTCCGGGCCAGCTTGGTGAGGGCAGGGAGCAGGGAAGAGGAGAGAGGCCGGCGGGTGTCGGGGCAGCGGCCAGTGAGCACACCCTCCTTGCTGGGGAGGAGCCCGGGCCCGGGGGGGCATCAGCAGCCCGGAGGCTGGGCCGGGCCGGACCAGGCTGGAGGGAGCCGGTGCCCAAGGCGGGGGGTGGCGATGCCACCCCCCTTCCATTTGGCGGGGCCCCCTTCCTCCTGCTTCGGACAGTTTCTCCCCAGCGGCCCCTCAGCTACTCGGCTGATGACAGAGGTTCTTGGGCGGATAGGGAGGGGCTCCGCGTGGAAGGACGTGAGTCTGGCCCAGTGGCCCCTGAGTGGCCTGTGCTGCCACCGCGGGGCTGCGAGGGGCCCGGTGGCCCTTGGCGGGCTTGCCCCTTCGTGGGGATGGCCGAGCCTCTCGGCAGTGCCCTGGGCTTTGTTGGATTTCTCACTCCCCCGCGGATCCAGAAGCATGTTTAGTTTTGGTGCTTGAACACAGTTTGGGGAAGACCGTCCTTTCCTGAGCCCGTCTCCCTCCTCCAGCGAGTTGAGTCCCCCCAACCCCTGTCCCAGGTGGGGTGACGTCTGGGTCCAGCCACAGTGACCCGGGTGGCGCCCCAGGGAAACCGCAGGGGCTGGCGCTTCTCGAGAAGTCGTGGGGACAGGAGCAGGGCTTGAAATCCTGCTGGGCTCTCTGGGAGTGCGTGCTGGCACCTGCATGCAGGCTGGTTTCTTGCCAGTCCAGACTCCCCGTTTCTTTCCTGGGGACCTGGTGCAGGAGTTCGTGAGGGTTGGGGGGGGGGGTTGGGTGTGGGCCTCACAGCCCGAAGGGGAGGCGGAGGCAGCGAGAGAGGGACTGTCACCCAGAGGAGACTGTTCTTTCCACGCAGCCTCATCAGCATCCCCTGGAGAGCAGAGGCTACTGACGTCCAAAAATCCTGTCACAGGGGCTTGTACGCATATCGTTTTGTCGGTTCCGACCGAGTTTTGCCTAAAACCCAGGATCGTTCAGGTCTCGCATGGGAGCACTTACTTTACTGGTGTTAGTCTCTGGGGGACATGAGCCCACCTGGAGCTGGACCCAGACGGCCTGAGCCTGAGGTCTGTAGGGACGACATCCTTGAATGGCGGTTGGATGTGCGTCACCTCGTGGCCGAGGAATGTTATCTACTTTGTAGGCAGGAAGGAGCAGCACAGAGAGGCTGAGCCACTTCACCCGACGGGAAGGGGCGGGGAAGGGGTCCCACGCCTGCCATGCACCCACACTGGCGCCCCAGCCTCTCCCCTGCAGGGCCCACTTCCTCCTCGTTCTATGTGGATGCTGTCAGCCAGCTGCATGTGTTCTCTCCTTACGGCCGACTGCCATCCAGAAAAACCCTGGAGACTCATTTCAGAGCAGCTGGGAGCACTTCGAGATCCCAAGAAAACATAGGCTCCCGGACCTGCAGCAAGCATACACAGCTTTTTTTAAAATGCATTTAAGAAAGGATAAGGGTTGAGCGCTCCTGTGCGCAGAGCTGGGATCAGACCTTCCTCGGGTAGAACCATCTACCTGCAGACCCCACCCCCTCCCAGATGCGGGGACTTAGGACGTTCACGCTCTGATGTATTCCTTACTCTCTTCACTTCAGAAAAGCTGACTTCTCATCATCCAAAAGGAGCATGTGATTAAAGGCAAACCCAAAGTGCCTGAGGTTCTTTGATAATTGCTTTTTCTTTTTTAAACATCTTTACAGCCACCTTCAGAACATAGTTGATTTCAGGCAGTTCGGAACGAATTCCCGGTGAGTCAAGGCAAAAGGGTCATTGTAAGTGTCATACCCGTGTCCTTACATCAGATGGCTGTGTTTTTCCATTGCCTCTGCAGGAAAACTGAAACACTGTGGATCTGCTGGAATGCTCTACGTTCTCCTACCTGATGAGATAAAGCAAAATCTCTGCTAGGATTCCTAGCAAGACAGAAGCCCTGGAGAGGTCGGGAAATGATTTTCCTTATTCCGCTCTCATAGACGTGTGCCTGGGAGACAAAAGCATTTCTCCTGCTGTGGGTGATGCCCACGGTTTGGGAGAAGCATGGTGAGCCAGTGCTAGTCAGGGAGGCATCTGGGGCTCTCGTTAAAACGCAGGTGTGGTCCTGGGGGCCTGGGCAGGGCCTGAGGCTCTGTGTGCCTAACAAGCTCCCAGGTGACGCTGATGCCTCCCGTCCAGGTAGCTGGGAGTTAGAGGATCGCTTGGGCCACTTACAGGCGAGGAAGGAGAGATCCTGTGGAAGGAGAACCACGACAAGGTCGTCGTCGTCTGAGCAGTGGTCACGGGGAGGGTCGAAGGAGGAGGAGCCAGACTGTGGAATCCTCTGCCTGTCGAGGGGCGATGCTGCTTTGTCGCCCACAAACCCCGCCCCGGGTTTGGGAAGTGGCCTGTGATCCTCGGTGTGACAGCACATGGTGTAGACTGACGTGTGGGATTAGACGTCCCCAAGGGGGCCTGGGGGAACAGAACGATAGCTGCAGATATTTTCATACTTACTGCACTGCGAAACCAAAGAGCCAGGTAGAGAAGACGAGAACCGCCAGCCCTGCGCAGGGCCTGTCAAAACAGCGAACCCGAGGACGTGAAGCCATTATGCTGTCTTGACGTTACCTCTCTGAGTGGCCAAGTGCTAAATTTTCTCATCCGATCCTAACCTGTGCCGAGCCTCAGAGCATCACACTCGCCCTGGCTGATGCCGAGTTCTGGTTTCCGTAGCAGCGCATCCACTGCTTGTGCTTATTTAATACGTGAAAACTAGAGCCTGCAACTGTTAGTCTTTTCTAAAAGACCCTGATCTCTTTATTATTTTTAAGAGCAGAAATGCCAGGTGGGCTGGGGGGGAAGGGATAGTTAGGGAGTTTGGGATCGACTATATATATTTTTTTTTTGCGGTACGTGGGCCTCTCACTGTTGTGGCCTCTCCCGTTGCGGAGCACAGGTTCCGGACGCGCAGGCTCAGCGGCCATGGCTCACGGGCCCAGCTGCTCCGCGGCATGTGGGATCTTCCCGGACCGGGGCACGAACCCACATCCCCTGCATCGGCAGGCGGACTCTCAACCACTGCGCCACCAGGGAAGCCCGGGATCGACTATATTTAAAATGGATAACCAACAAGGACCTACTGTATAGCACAGGGAGCTCTGCTCAATGTTACGTGGCAGCCTGGATGGGAGGGGAGTCTGGGGGAGAATGGATACATGTATATGTATGGCTGAGTCCCTTTGCTGTGCACCTGAAACTATCACAACATTGTTAATCGGCTATACTCCAAAGTAAAATAAAAAGTTAAAAAAAAATAAAAAAAAAAGGAACGCCAGATGTGGGGTGAATACCTGAGCCCCACTAGGAAGTGATCCTTTACGTGAACCTGGCCTGGGCGCTGAAAGGAACAGCAGCACAGTAAATGGCCAGGAGAGAACTGTTTGATCCTATTTTCTTAATTAAATAGCAAAAGTTCTTTATTAGCAAGGCCAGGTTTCTCTCTCGCTCACAGATAGCTGTGATGCTGACCTGTTTGTCTGTGGCAGGGCAAGGATGGAGATTTTGGCGACTGTTATTTCTTCCTTACAGATGAGCTGGTGTAGGTATTGGCTGGCGTAGTGCATGATCCTTGTTAATGCCGATTCCATCCTGTGGCCAGATGTAACCTGCCTGTTCCGCCCCCTCTCATCTGCTTCCCTTCTTACTGCCTTTTGACCTCTGACCTCTGCTCTGGCCTCTCGACAACCAGCAGATGGGCTGTAGCCACCGATCTACGAACAGTCTCTGGATACAGAGACGTGAGAAGTATTCTCTCCTGAGGGTCTGTCTGATTCTTTTTGAAAAAATCATTTTAACTATGCTTTTTTTAAAAAAAATGAAAAAAAAGCAAGCTTTAGGGAATCCTGCAAATTGTTGAGGAAGAATAGCAAACAAATTACAGGCTCTATAGGGGGAAAATTATAAAACCCAGCTGCATTTTCTAGTGTTGGGGACTTTTATTACAGGAATTCATGTAGTGGGTGTGCACTGATCGTCACTTGGGTGCTACAATTTAAGGTTTTGTGACCATCTTTTTTTGCGCAAGGTCAAATTAAGAGCATAGATTCTTGCAAACAGGAGGGACCGTGATGTCCTTGACATTTATTGAAGGTAGACACTGGTGTTTTTTGCAGCTGTGAAGGTGAATCAGACCTGCCCCTGCTGGCAGAGCCATCATCTGAGGGGGGTGCGTGGGATGCCCAGGTCACGGGGGCAGCAGAATTCTGAGAGGGAGCAGGGGCTTGGGTGAGATCCGCCCTACGTGATCCAGTCTGCTTCATGGTTTGGCTTCTGTCTTGTTCAGAAGATGGGTTGGGTGCGACTGACCTGTCTTGGTCTCACGTGTGAGTGGGTTGCCTGGAACTCAGAGCTCGGGGAACAGTGGGACGGAAGGAGGGGTGGTGAGGCGGGGGGAGCTGGGCTGGCCTTCCTGTGCCCTGTGCGGAGGTTGGGAGGGCCGCATGGTCCAGCAGCAGAGACGGAAGGAAGGGCAGCAGAGGGAGCTCAGAGATGCCGAGAGAGCAGAAGGTATGGGGGCCGCGTGTGATGCACGCGCTCTGTCTCCCCACGAGGCAACATCTCCTAGTTCCTGGGCCGACCACTCTCCATCACAGCATTCTTCTGCCATGATTTGCTCTGTGACCTGAGCAACGATCTCGCTCCCTTTGCAGGGGGAGCCTCAGCTCGTCCAGCCGTGCAAACGAGCATCTCAGCCTTGACGTACCACCTTGCAGTCCTCGGCCAGATGGGAAGCGTGCTGGCCCGGCGCTCACGGCTCTCTTGTCCCTTCTGTGTTCCAGGCATAGAGCTCTGCCCCCCGGGAAAGCGGTTCCTGATCACAATGGTGGCGAGCTTCGTGGCCACGGCGGGGCAGCTCCTCATGCCCGGGCTGGCCGCCCTGTGCCGGGACTGGCAGGTGCTGCAGGCCCTCATCATCTGCCCCTTCCTGCCCATGCTGCTCTACTGGTCGTGAGTATCCTCCCTGCCACCCCCCGGGCCACCTGCGTCGCGTCCCAGGGCTGCGCCCCGGGCTCGGGCCCCACGGTCCCCAGACGTCCCGCCAGTTTCAGCTTGTGGCATTTTTAATGAGGGAATTTTCCTCTCTTTTTAAAAAAATTTCCTCTTCTAAACGTTTCATCTTGGCAAACGTTCTAACATACACAGGAGGAGTGGGGCGAGGCCTAGGCGCCCCTGCCCGGCTCCAGCTACCTGCCCTCCACGGTCTGGCTGAACACACACTTGCTGGGTGTTCGACATGACTTTCATGACTGGGTTTGCAAAGGGCGGGGTCTCGTGTTGGGAGGGGAAATGTGTCTGGAGGTGTTCAGGAGAGATTTAGCAGAGCCACTGTCCCCTGTCTCCTCTGGGCTAGGGATGGGCAAACGCCGGCCCGCGGGCCAACTGTGGCCCGCTGTCTGTTTCTGTAAATAAAGTTTTGTTGGGACACGGCTGTGCTCACGTGTTTCCACATGTATCATCCGGGACCACTTTCATGCCACGATGGCAGAGCTGAGCAGATACGACCAAGACGATGTGGCCCTACAAAGCCGAAAACATTTAGTCTCTGGTCCTTTGCAGAAGTTTGTCCACCCCTCCTTTGGACGAGCCCACTAGGCCTTTTAGAACCGTGTGTGACTTCTAGTGTTTGGCTTGCTGACTTCAGGGAAAAAACAACTGAACACACTGGCCTGGCCTGGGGGTATGACCTGGGCAACCAGATGCTTTTAAACTCCTCAGGGGATTAATGTTTAGCCAAGGTTGAAAAACACCGCTCTTGGATAGAGAGATGTTTACCCGAAAAATGAGCGTTGTACCCTTTCTGTAAAAACCTCTTTTCTTTCTCTTTCCTTCCCTCCCATCCCCATTCTGTGCCAGACTCTCCCGCCGGCCCGCACTGGGTACAAGGCACTGGAGAGGAGATTTTACCCGCTACGCTGTGTTTCTATTATTTAGTCACTAATGAAAACCTGATTTGTGGCCAGAAGTCAGTTGTGTCTTAGCTTTAAGTGCTCGCCATAGCGGACACGGCTATTAATTGGGCTTCCTTTCCTAAGGTGCGGGGGAGGGGAGGAAAGCGCGACCTTGCAGCTTAATAGGCTGGCCCCGCCCTCACCCTGGCAGCAGACCCCCCAGCAGAGATATCACATGAGCCAGACTCACGTGTCTTTTCCTCAAGAGCCGGGTTCTCGCTCACAGTGTCCTCAGAGCCTCGGCAGTGGTGGGGAGGCTACAAGGACAGATGAGAAAAAGGCCACCTGCCAGGAAAAGCGTCCCCCACCCGAGGCTGGGCGGCACCCATTCCACAGGAGCCCTCGTGTTTGGGGACATCCTGCTCTTTCCTGCAGGGCCTTAAGAGGCAAAGAACGAAGTCGTTCCCCAAAGCAGGATGGAGTGGGCAGCCCATCCTCACATCCCTAAGGATATGCTGCATCCAGAGCTGGGCTTTGCTTGGTTTGGAATTTCAGGACATTTCCTTATTTAACACTTGTTTGTATCGTGTTTGTGTCAGAGGCAAATGGCAAGCACTGTATTAATAGTGGATCATTCGGTCTGGGCATTTCATGGCCCCATTGTACAGATGGCAAAGCTGAGGACACCCAACTGACCCTTGAGCCCGGAGTTGTGCTGTCTCCAGCCCTGCAGTCAGGAATCCCCCCACCCCTCTCCTCTGGCTTCCTGGGCTCCACTGCGCCCAAGGGCAATGGTGCTGTCTGCCGGCCCCTGGAGACACAGCCTCTTGGAGACTCACACACCTGTAAGGATAGGCAGAGTTGTCTCCATCACCTCCAGGCTTTGAGGCTCAGCCCAGGCTCTGCTCCCACCTGTCCCAGGTAGGAGGAAACCTGACAGAGAGAAAAGGCAGAGAAGGGTTTCCTGGAGCAGGTCTGGGGGCCTGGCCCATGTGGGAAAGCATTAGGGGTTTTGTTTATCTTATTTTTTTGTTTTAAATTTTAAAAGTATATCAAGGTTTAGTGTTAGGCAAGGTAAAAATGTTCATTTATTTAAATCCATTGTAAAACATAAATAATTCTTTGAAACACACAAATGTAAAAATATGACTTTATGGTGAAAAGGGCACCCAGGGTACTTTGATAAGTGAGAAGTGTGTGTGGACAGACAGATGGACAGCGCCCGCAGGCACCAGGCACCCCAGTATGGGGCAGACCCGCTCCACCCACCCGTGTACTTGTCCCTTGTGTTATTACGTAAGGCCCCTGACGCATGTCCGGCCTGCAGTAGCGCTTGCAGAGATCAGCTACTGCTTTTACTGTTACTATATCCCCGCCTTCCCAGTGTGGAAGCCTGGGTGTATCTGGGGCCAGTCGAGGGAATCGCAGTAAGAGGTGTGTCCCACCTCTGCCTGCAGTCATGAGCGGCTCCAGGGGCGTCACTGGCTTTTAAAGGCCATTGAGGTGCCCCCTCTTTCTCGCCCCCTAATGACCACCCTTCCTCCCCTCTGCTGCGGTAGAGGGTTTCTCGCAGAAGGCTCTGTGGTTTGACAGGATGAACTGGCCTCTGGGGAGGGCAGTGAGCTGCAGCGGCCAGCACGACCGGCTGTTGGTGACAAAATGTTAAAAGTTACTCTTTCCTTTAAGAGCAAGTATTTATCGCATGTGTCCTGGGTGCCCGGCAGCCTGCTTGGTGCTTTGGAGCAGCCCTAAGGAACAGGTGTGTTAACAGGGCCATAAAGCAGAGCACACGACATAAAGTCCCCGGGACGCAGGGTCAGGTCAGGAGCACAAAGGAAAGGGTGCAGGTGAGGGATCTTCTGGTCCACATGGAAGCTGGGAGCATCCAGACACACCAGGTAAGAGGTGACATTAACCAAATACGGACACAACGCTGACCTCCAGCACAGGAAAGGGGGTGCTGGGGCAGAGACCCAGGACAGTATTCAAGCTGGAGTGACACAGAGGCCACCGCAGGGCAGCTGAACCAGAAAGGGGCCCAGGGGCCTGGGCTAACCCCTGCACGGGGCCCGGGGCTGAGATCTCAGGCCCCTTCTGCACTTAGAACTGAGCCCTCGGGACGAAGCCGGGCCTCAGAGCATCAGTGATAACAGATCTCTGCGCAGCACAGGGCCTCAGCTCCAAAGCTGGACAACTGCCCCAGGCCGTGGGCGAGAAGGACTCACCCTCAAGACATCAGCGCCTTGGAGTCTGCACCACACGTGGCTACAAGTTCCATTCTGAATTCCAGCTGCTCTCCAAGGCTGACAGAAGAACCAGGGGAGCTCGCTGGAACCTCAGGGTCAGAAATGGAACCTCCGTGGGGAATCACCAGAGCCGGGACTCACGTGGAAGAGAATTCTCACCGAGGATGAGCTCACCGAGCCCAGGGGACCCGTTACCAAGGGCAAAAGCTATACTGCAGGGAGTTTGCATCTCAGGAATTCTGCAAAACAGACCAATCTGAAAGAGAAGTTAATTCACCTCATTTATTATGAGTAGTTACCACTTAGGCACACCGCGTGCCGTCCCAGACACGAGGGATTCTGGATACCGCCGTGCACGTCGCCAAACCTCTGCACACCGAGACGTACTTGATGGGCTGATGGGGGGCCCACAGCCTGTAAATCAGAAGTCAGCCAATAACATGCTTTCAAAAACCGGCACTAGGAAGAAATGGAATAAAGCAGTGGGGTGCAGAGGAGCAAGTGGGGTCAGGGTCTCTGAGGAAGTGACTTATGGGCTGAGACTAAATGTCCGGTGCATGTGGTCACAGCCAGGGCAAAAGCTGGCTCCACTTGGCTTTTTGTGGAAGAGGAAGGCGGTGGTCAGTATGGCCAGAGCCCGAGTGGCCAGTTGGGGCGGAAGATGACCTTGGACACAGAGGTGGGTCAGACGTGGGGGGCCTTGGGCGCCGAGCTTCCTCTGCCACCTGAAAACACGCCAGCGGCCGAAGCGGGGCAGGGCTGTGCCCTGAGAGCCTCGCTCTGTCTGCTGTGGGAGTGGCCACAGGGCAGGGCCGGTGCTGATGCTGCACTGGCTGCGGGGACGGCGGCGCCTGCGCACCAGTGGGCATGGCACTCACCTGACGGGGTCCGGTTCCAGGTCTGTTCTGCAGGTAGCCCTGGGAGGTCTCGTTTGTGGATCTGCTGGGGCACAGGTGGGTAAGAGGGCGAACAGTCCGGGCTTGGGAGGCATTCCGGGATGTGATGGAGATGTTCCGGCCACCCTTGCAAAACGCCGGTGTGTGCCGTCACCTGCCTTAGAGCATCACTGTTGGTGCCGAGTACCTGTGATGGTTTGTGAGAACGAGCGCGTGCACGTCTGCTTTGGGCCTGGCATGTGCTGGGCACGGTTGCGACACCAAGGCCTCTCCCCAGGCAGCGTCTGCCAGGTGTCGGGTGCCACGTGCCCACGCCCCTGCCTGGTGGAGCAGCTCACCAAGGAGGGCAACCTCACGTGCCTCCTTCGAGGCAGGTGCACCGTCAGGTATGGCGATTTGAACACATCTTAAAGTTTTCAGGACACGCTTTTCACGAGATCAGCTGCGTGTTTCTATGTGCGAGGCTGTATCAACCTGATATTTTCGGATTAGGTACAAGCTGGTGGTTGGTGGGATTATTCCTGTTTTTAGCTGGGGAAACGAGGACATCAAAAAGCTGCACCAAAGACACAAGTGTGGCGAGTCATTAAACACTGGTTTCTGAATGTCAGTGGTTCTCAGAGTGTGGCCACCGGGCCAGCGTCACCACCACCACCACCCCCTGGGAACTTGTTAGCAACACCAGGGCTCAGACCCCACCCCAGGCTGACTGAGTCACAGTGTCTGCGGGTAGTTTAAGAAGCCCTACAGGGGTGCTGGTGATGGCTCAAGTCCCAGAGGGCTGCTGTACACCAGGCTGCCCAGTGAGAAGGAAAAGCCAGATATCTGCTTATGGGATACGGGACCTGGTCCACTTCCGATAAAGTGAAAGATGTCGTCAAGAGTGAAAGGAGATTTGGGTTGGCTGGGGTAACAAG